AGCTGAGATTAGAAGTAGTCTCTTAAAGGGAGTGCTGCTAATCTCATTTTGTTACCTGTATAAAAGACACCTGTCCACAGGAGCAATCAAACCATCAGATTCCAAACTCTCCACCATGGCAAAGGCCAAAGAGCTGTCCAAAGATGTCAGGGACAAGATTGTAGACCTACACAAGCCTGGAGTGGGCTACCAAACTATGGCCAAGCAGCTCGGTGAGAAGGTGACAACAGTTGGTGCAATCATTCACAAATGGAAGAAACACAAAACAAGTGTCAGTCTCCCTAGGTCTGGAGCACCATGCAATATCTCACCTCGTGGAGTGTCAATGATCATGAGAAAAATGAGGAATCATCCCAGAACTACAGGTGAGGATCTTGTCAATGATCTCCAGGCAGCTGGGACCACAGTCACCAAGAAAACAATTGGTAACACACTACGCCGACAAGGACTGAAATCCTGCAGTGCCCGCAAGGTCCCTCTGCTCAAGAAAGCCCATGTCCAGGCCCGTCTGAAGTCTGCCACTGAACATCTGAATGATGCAGAGGAGGACTGGTGGGAAGTGTTGTGGTCAGAGGAGACCAAAATCCAGCTCTTAGGCAGCATTCCTCCTCCTCCAAATATGGAGAGTTGAGTTGATGCCAATGATCACAAGAACACCATCCCAACTGTCAAACATGGTGGTGGAAACATTCTGCTTTGGGGGCGTTTTTCTGCTGACTGGCACTGACAGGCACTGATAAGTGGCGCTGATGCGCCCTGACAGGGGGCACTGACGCGCACTGATAGGCAGCACTGACTGGTACTAATAGGCGGCACTGATAGGTGGCACTGATTGGCATTGATAGGTGGCACTGACTGGCACTGATGGGTGACACTGAAAGGCAGCTCAGATGGGCTTGGCCAATCAGTGATCACATGCAAAGTAGTAAGCAAGATGTCACTTGTGACATCATTGCTTACTACGTGTGAAATCTGTGAATGATCACAGAGGTCACATGGTACAAGGCTATTCACAACAGCCTTGTACCATGTGACAAGCTGTGACCAATCACAGCTCACTCAGTACTTCTCAATGACTGCAAGAATGCAGACAGAGAGAACGAGAAATGATTGCTTTTACATCCTATATGGGTGCAAAAGCAATCAGTGTAAAAAAAAAAAAAAATAAATCTTCATCACCCCCCCACAAGTAGTACAGACAGTATGTAAAAAAAAAAAAATACAAATAAAAAATAATAATATAAAAAAATAAAATAAAAATGTAAAAAAAAAAATGTTTAAACATTATAAAATTTTTGGTTATAAACTAATTTGGATTTTTTCTAAAAAGATAGAATACATTTTGGCCAAGATTTGATGAAATATTATTTATTTGCAAAATTTTATAAAAAAACACTTTTTTCAAAATTTTTGGACTTTTTCATTTACATAGCAAAAAAAAATTAAAATCCCAGCGCTGAATAAATACCACCAAAATAAAGCTACAGTAAAGCTAAAGGTACAGTGTTGCATGACCGCGCAATTGTCATTCAAAGTGTGATAGCGATGAAAGCTGAAAATTGCCCTGGTCAGGAAGGGGGTAAAAGTGTCCAGACTGGAAGTGGTTAAAAAACAAAAACTCAAATGGTGATCAAATACCATCAAAAGAAAGCTCTATTTGTGGGAAAATAAATTATATAAAAATTTAATTTGGGTACAGCATTGCATGACTGATCAATTTCCATTTAAAATAGCTAAATTGCCAAAAATGGCCCGGCCATGAAGGGGGTAAAATCTTACAGAGCTTAAGTGGTTAATATAACAATTCCTAATACACCTTGCCAAGTATGCCAATTTAAAAATCTGGTATTAACCAATCCCCCTGTCCTCTGCTATACATTGGAGGGTGATAACCAATCCCCCTGTCCTCTGCTATACATTGGAGGGTGATAACCAATCCCCCTGTCCTCTGCTATACATTGGAGGGTGATAACCAATCCCCCTGTCCTCTGCTATACATTGGAGGGTGATAACCAATCCCCCTGTCCTCTGCTATACATTGGAGGGTGATAACCAATCCCCCTGTCCTCTGCTATACATTGGAGGGTGATAACCAATCCCCCTGTCCTCTGCTATACATTGGAGGGGATAACCAATCCCCCTGTCCTCTGCTATACATTGGAGGGTGATAACCAATCCCCCTGGCTATACATTGGAGGGTGATAACCAATCCCCCTGTCCTCTGCTATACATTGGAGGGTGATAACCAATCCCCCTGTCCTCTGCTATACATTGGAGGGTGATAACCAATCCCCCTGTCCTCTGCTATACATTGGAGGGTGCTACCAATAATGGAGTAGGCACTTGATGTTCTGTACATCAGAGGGTTCCAGACCGTGCCACAAATCCGTTACATCTGTGCTAAGCTGGCTGCATTAACAAAGCACTACACTGACACCTTGGCAGTTGGAATCGGGGCTTTTCATAACAAATCAGTTTATAATATAAATTGTTTTTGCTTTTCAATTGAAATAAACTTTAGTATTTAAAAACAGTATAAATTATGTATTTTTCTCCATCGAATAAACTGTATTTCCTCACTTCAGTTAACTATTATTCTAGTCTCTTTGAAAGACCCGTCTAAAAATAAAGCATGGTGCAATTAGTTTGGGTCACTTGTCCAAAAGTCCAAATTCCATTGCAGCTTTTGGAGACTCAAAGTAGATTTTTGAAACATCTGCTTTTTATTATTCAGCTTTTCTGTGTTTATTATTTCACGTGATAACTATCATGCAATACTTGTGTGAAAACCCAAGGAGAACAATAACCTATTTATCAAGATCCTAGGAGCTGTGTGTTTTCCAGTAGGTTTGAATTTAGCTTGGTTTTAACTGAGAGCTTAATTCATAAAATAACACCTCTGCTTTGGAATGCATTTAAAGGCCACTTTGCAAGGACACACAGCGAGTGGGTACTATGCAAACATTTCTAAAAAAATAAAATAAATGATCAAGCAGAAGTATATAAATTTTCAGCTCCGAACATCAGGACATCCTATGCTGCCTCCACGCTGTCTTTCACAGTTGGGCCATATTGTAAAAAACAGTAGGAGGCCTCATGTTCAGATCTAAAATGTTTCTTTCACAAAGGAAACAAAACAAATAGATTCATTTATTGTATTTGGTTTTGAAGGTCCTTTTATCTGCAGTAACAGCAACAATTTTGTTTTTTGTTTTTTTGCATATCTGCAAATTTTTTGTAGCAAAGAGTGTCTATGTTTTAAAAATTAAAGAAAGGTATACAAAGTACTTTATTGAACACAACAGGACTCAAATATATTTAGAGAATTATATAAACTAAGAATGTGTAGTGCGCTAACTCCTCATCCAGACATATAAATGAAATAAAATAATCCTCCAGTAATCCCATGCAAGATAAATCCACACTACAATAAAAGTCGAACTCCCAAATCACAGAATGTCCAAATTAGTGCGTTTAACAATCGCTTTCCAGAAGACGTGCTTGTGCTCAAGATACTCTCCCTGATCACCTTTAAGTTTGACCTACAAATTATAATAGAGAGAAAACAGGTGGCGCACACACCTAGTGCATTATCCAAGGTTTATTGTAGGAGTGAAAGAATAATAAAAACATACTCACAGACGAAGCATGTATCTAAAAAGCATAGAAAAATGACAATGGCCACAACAGCAAGGCTCTTACTTTCCATTCATCATACATCTGCATCAGAGGTTGGTCATCAGCTCTGAGGAAAGGGATTCGTCCCCTGAAACGCGTCAGCCATTTGACCGCACTGACAGTGAGAACACCTTGCCTGCCGTTGTGGCCATTGTCATTTTTCTATGCTTTTTAGATACATGCTTCGTCTGTGAGTATGTTTTTATTATTCTTTCACTCCTACAATAAACCTTGGATAATGCACTAGGTGTGTGCGCCACCTGTTTTCTCTCTATCCAGTGGCTGATTTCCCCGACTGAGGAGGGCTGCACCCCTGAAGCATTTCCTTTGGTTGTCGCTGTCCTGGTACCCTTGGCTTCCCTTTTGGCTGTGCATATCCTGAGGCGCTGGAGAGTACATACGATATCCGGTACAAATTATAATAGGTCAATTTCATTTTTACAGAAGTGAACCCTTTCACGTGGCGATGAATCCAGAATTTCTTCACTCATTCACGACTCCAAAAATGTGTATATAAAAAACAAAAGTATATATCGTAGTGCAACACCGTTTAAATTAAAGCTAATGGTTGAGTGCACAAAACATATACACGCACATTACAGCAAAACACATCGTGAGCCGCAACAGTGTTGTAAAGTGTTCACTTCATCCAACATATACAAAAGTGCTTCTCATCACCAATGAGTGTGCCATGCACTCACCTTCTTCCTTGACCCATATATCGTATAGGTCATAAGCACTATAAACATTGGTAAATCTTTTGCGTGTCCACCGCTATCCCTTAGTAGCTATTTCCTTGCTAGTGGCCCTTTAAGAGACCGGATTTCAACTTCCCACCAGGATGGTAAATGCTCAGGGGGAAAAAAAAAAAAAAAAAAAAAAGGAGGACAAATCATAGTGCAACCATAGATAGCTAAAGATGATCCACATTGGCTCACAATTGATATGATCCAAAAATATTTAGACAGAATAAAGGTGAATAAAGCACCCGAACCGGATGTGGCATACACCCACGGGTCCTTAAGGAATTGCGCTCTGTAATTTCAAAGCCATTATTTCTAATTTTTAGGGACTCTTTAATGACTGGCATAGTACCACTGGATTGGCGTAAGGCCAATGTGATGCCAATATTTAAAAAGGGGTCAAAATCTTTCCCAAGTAATTACAGACCTGTTAGTTTAACTTCTATAGTTGGGAAGATACTGGAGAGTTTAATAAGAGACCACATAGATGAGTTCTTGCTGGAAAAAAATATTTTAAGCAACAGACAGCATGGATTCATGAAAGACAGAAGTTGTCAAACAAATCTGATTTCTTTTTATGAAGTGAGCAAAACCTTGGACAGAGGGGTGGCGGTGGACGTGGTATACTTGGACAGAGGGGTGGCGGTGGACGTGGTATACTTGGACAGAGGGGTGGCGGTGGACGTGGTATACGTGGTCAGAGGGGTGGCGGTGGACGTGGTATACTTGGACAGAGGGGTGGCGGTGGACGTGGTATACTTGGACAGAGGGTTGGCGGTGGACGTGGTATACTTGGACAGAGGGGTGGCGGTGGACGTGGTATACTTGTACAGAGGGGTGGCGGTGGACGTGGTATACTTGTACAGAGGGGTGGCGGTGGACGTGGTATACTTGGACAGAGGGGTGGTGGTGGACGTGGTATACTTGGACAGAGGGGTGGTGGTGGACGTGGTATACTTGGACAGAGGGGTGGTGGTGGACGTGGTATACTTGGACAGAGGGGTGGCGGTGGACGTGGTATACTTGCACAGAGGGGTGGCGGTGGGCGTGGTATACTTGGACAGAGGGGTGGTGGTGGACGTGGTATACTTGGACAGAGGGGTGGGCGGTGGACGTGGTATACTTTGGCTTTTGCAAAAGCGTTTGACACAGTTCCCCACACAGGGCTAATTTGTAAGGTAAAGTCTATGGGCTTGGAAAAATCTGTATGTAAATGGGTAGAAAACTGGCTAAAAGATCGTATTCAGAGAGTAGTGGTTAATGATTCATACTCTGAATTCAAAATACCATTTCAGTCTTTGCAGATGACACAAAGCTGTGCAGTGGAATAATGTCCTTACAGGATGTCTACAATTTACAAGCCGACCTCTAAAGCGAGCAAAATCCTCTCTTGTATTAAAAGATGTATAGACTCCAGAGAGAGAGATATCATATTACCCCGGGTACAAATTATTAGTAACACCTCATCTGGAATATACAGTTCAGTTTTGGGCACCAATTCACAAAAAGAACATTGGGGAACTGGAGAAAGTACAGAGAAGGGCAACCAGAGGCATGGAGGAGATCAGCTATGAGGAAAGATTAGAGGAACTAATTTTATTCTCTCTTGAGAAGGAGATAAAGGGGGATATGATCAACATGTATAATACATAAGGGGGGATATGATCTCCATGTATAATACATAAGGGGGGGATATGATCACCATGTATAAATACATCAGTGGTTCATATAATGAACTCGGTGTAGTTATTCCCCCTGAGGTCATCACAGAGGACAAGGGGGCACTCTTTACGTCTGGAGGAAAAGAAATTTAATCACCAAACATGGAAAGGTTTCTTCACAGTGAGAGCTGTGAAAATGTGGCATAGACTCCCTCAAGAGTTGGTTCTGGCCAGCTAAGTGGATTGCTTCAAAAAAGTCCTGGATTGTTTCTTGGATACACAGAATATAACTGGATACTAACGTTTATAGGTAAAGTTGATCCAGGGAATATCCGATTGCCTTTCAGGGGATCAGGAAGGAATTTTTTTCCCAGCAGGTGCAAATTGGATCATGCTTTGCTGGGTTGTTTTTGCCTTCCTCTGGATCAATTGTGGGTATAGGATTATAACTTTTTTTTCTATAGTTGAACTGGATGGACTTTTGTCTTTTTTCAGTCAGACTAACTATGTAACCCCATAAAAAAAGATTTAATTTATTAAGCTAATAACACAACCATTAGTCCCTCCCCTCATGCCAGGGTACTAGGTGTAATCCTAGACTCCCATCTGTCCTTTCAGCCCCAAATCCAATCACTGTCCAAATCTTGTAGACTTCACCTCCGCAACATCTCCAACCTCCACAATATCTCCAACATACGTCCATTCTTAACCTCTGAAACTACTAAGCAACTTATTCACTACTATTGTTATATCTCGCCTTGACTATTGTAACTCCCTCCTCATTGGCCTACCTCATCGCAGGCTATCCCCTCTTCAGTCTATCATGAATGCTGCAGCCAGACTCATCCACCATACTAACTGTTCTATATCTGCCACCCCTCTCTGCCAATCTCTTCACTGGCCTCCACTCAGTGTCCTCCACCCCCCTCTGCCAATCCCCCCACTGACCTCCATTCAGTGTCCTCCACCCCTCTCTTCCAATCCCTCCACTGGCTTCCCATTGCCCAATGGATAAAATTCAAAACATTAACAATAACATATGAAGCCATTTATAACTCTGCCCCAAATTACATCACTAATCTTGTCTCCAAATATCACCCAAACAGTCCTCTCCGCTCCTCGCACAACCTCCTGCTCTCTAGCTCCCTTGTCTCCTCCTCCCATGCTGATCTTCAGGACATCTCTAGGGCTTCCCCCATCCTCTGGAACTCTCTACCCCAATTTATCAGACGATCGCCTACTCTGCTCACTTTTAGGCGATCTCTGAAAACCTATCTCTTCAGGGAAGCCTATCCTGCCCTCAGCTAATACTGGAATCTTCTATTCCTCCTACCAGTCCATCCCCCACAGTTGTTATCTTTTGTACCACTAGCTGCTCCCTCTTAGATTGTAAGCTCCAAGGAGCTTCTAACCCTCTTGTATTGAACTGTATTGTTGCTACATTGTCTCCCGTTATAATGCTGAGCAAACTGTATAATAATAATAATATCCACTCACAAAGTGCAAAACGGTGAAGGCATGTAATTCCAATTACAAATATGGTTCCTCTCACCACGCTTCCTGGTTTGCGCAGTACTGGAAGTGACGTCACTAGGCTCCACTAGTTGGTGGGAGTTGGATTTATCTTGCATGGGATTACTGGAGGATTATTTTATTTCATTTAGATGTCTGAATGAGGAGTTAGCACACTACACATTCTTGGTTTATATAAATTTTAGGTGAGAGTACACGTAGTGAGTGGGTGCAGTGATCTTCCTTTGTTTATTTATATTTAGGGTGTAGCAGCACACGAGTGTAAGCCTTTTCAGCGTTTGGAGAATTGTATATATAAACTTGTACACACAACTGCACACTAGATGATTGAAAAATATTACATGTTTCATGAAGGAAATTTACATTATCTTTAAAAATGAGAAATGTGACATTACGTAGGCATTCCTTCTCCAACAGCAGTGTTAGATCACCTATGGCCGATTTAGTAATTGCTAATCTAATGGGATTTGAACTGTCATCCTGAGTACTGTACTGGCAGTTAGCAATGTCTTTACTGTACTGCCCATTGTTCTTTTAAAGGCCAGATGGAGAGGAGGCTGTATGAGGACATGTTGTACCTTTCTGTGTCCACTTTATTCAGCTTGATCCCCAGTAGCAAAAAATCACCCACCTACACTGCTCCTGCTGCCTCTCGCTCCTTCTTTACCCCCTGAGCTGTAAGTGTACATGTGCTGCCTCCACCTCCTATATCTTACAAGCACAGCCCTGCTCCTCTACCAAGGTGGTGTTACACCTTGACACTTGTTGGGAATAAAACAGCATGTACTATATACAGTATTGTATGTTAATATCACTTTACCAGTAGATGGCACTGTACACTAAGGTTACTAGTTGTGCATATGTGTAAAACTTGTTGGTTCTCTCTCTCCTATCTTCCTCTCTCTCAAACCAAGATGTCTGCTGTTATACATTGCTGAAATGTGCTCTGTATGTTTGCAACTTAAGCCACACAAGTAAAATAAGCGTTCTGCCTCATCACTACCAGTGTCTTCTCTAACACATAACCAACAACACTGTCATGACATGATAAGTTGATCCGGGGAGACGATCAGCAGTATGAAGCTTACTTGCAATACTAAATTGTCATGGTCGTGTGTACGGGGCACACGGAAAGTTGTATGCAACGGCCATGTTGTTCAGGTCCCCAAGTCCCCCATGCAATTAACTGCAGTAACTTTCCCCCTCCCTCTTCCTTCAGTTTATAGAATCAACAAACTCTTAGTTGCATGCCAAATGCCCCTTTTCAGTACATTGAGGGGACACACAAGCCCCTCCACCCTATACCCCCTGAATACACATTTCAGTTTCACTTTAAGTTTAATAATTAGGAAAGTCGGTAAACAGCATCTCACTAGCGATCTGTCGTAAATACCTCAGCTGGAACACTCAGGGAATTCACACTGATATCATGCTTGGAGTCAGTGGTATATTTAGGTTTTGTGCTGCCCTAGGCAACACAAAAAATGTGCTGCCCCCCCCCCCCCCGGGGGATTATAGAGGGTGCAGGGTTCATGGAGGGATTCTGAGGAAAGTAAGGTGTATGGTGGTCATTCTGGAGGAGAATGGTGGGGGATTCAGAAGATGCAGGGCATCTGGGAGATCAACAGAAAGAAAACAAGGAAGCTGCCATTGTGGGTACTTACACCAGTGCTGGAGGTTACTATTACTGCCAATGACACCAATGTTGGTTTTACATCCACACTACAATCCATAACACCATGAAGCAACACCCATTTTTTGGCCACACATCCTTGTTTTTTTTGGTGAACAGCACACTTTTTTTTTTTATTCTTAATACCTGCATTGCGTCCCTCCTAACTATCCATGTATAGCTCGGTGCCTCTTATTGAAGCTCTGTTTATTTTGTCTTATTACTTTCAATGTCTGCCTCTTGTTCCAAAAGTCTGTGACCAATTGTTTAACATTGGGTGCAGAATAGGGGGGTGATTTTGGGGTTGTGGCTTAAATGGTAGTGTGAGGTTTTGTGGGTATGGTTAAATGTTATCATGGTCAGTAGAGTGTTGGTGGATTTCATTTTGAAAATATGGTAACGTTAAGGCTCCATGCACACTGGGCTTAACCACTTCCACTCCGGACACTTTCACCCCCCCCTTCCTGACCAGGGCAATTTTCACCTTTCAGCACTATCACACTTTGAATGACAATTGCGCGGTCATGCAACACTGTACCCGTATGAATTTTTTACCATTTTTTTCAGACAGATAAAGCTTTATTTTGGTGGTATTTATTCAGCGCTGGGATTTTTATTTTTTTTGCTATGTCAATGAAAATGTCCAAAAATTTTGAAAAAAAGTGTTTTTCTTATAAAAAATTGCAAATAAATCATCATAAATCTTGGCCGAAATGTATTCCGTTATCTTTTTAGTAAAAAAAAAAAAAAAATAAGCCAAATTAGTTTATAACCAAAAATTATAATTTTTAAACATTTTTATTTTATTTTTTTATATTATTTTTTTTTATTTTTTTTTTTTACATACTGTCAACCTAGCAGTACAGTGTCACTATGGTGACACTGTACTACTTGTGGGGGGTGATGAAGATTTTTTTTTTTTTTTTACAGTGATTGCTTTTACACCATATAGGATGTAAAAGCAATCATTTCTCTTTCTCTCTGTCTGCATTCTTGCAGCCATTGAGAACTACTGAGTAAACTGTGATTGGTCACAGCTTGTCACATGGTACAAGGCTGTTGTGAATAGCCTTGTACCATGTGACCTCTGTGATCATTCACACATTTCACACGTAGTAAGCAATGATGTCACAAGTGAAATCTTGCTTACTACTTTGCATGTGATCACTGATTGGCCAATCAGTGATCACATGATCGGGACCTCGTACAGAGGTCCCGTCCGACGATCGGTGTTTCACTGTGTCCGGAGGACACAGCGGGC